CCCCAAAACCCCAAAACCCCAAAACCCCAAAACCCCAAAACCCCAAAACCCCAAAACCCCAATAAAAATACTATAATTTGAAATTTGAGAATTTTGTTTTACAATCTGGAATCAGCAGTCTTTGCAGCTCTCGATCAGTTGTAGTTCGGATAGCTATGAGTATGATTAACCTCTCCCAATTCTTCACTTACTTCCTGCTTTTGGTCTTCGAACTTTTGCAGTCTACACATCAGCAACAATCCACTTACTGAGTTTCTTGGTAGGCATCCCCGAACTTACTGTTTTGTTCAAGTCGTAGCTGACGAACTGAGGGCCCTTGCCAGCCAGCTTGTTGTACTTCTGAGTGATGTTCCTGCTGTTTGTCGAAGTGTCGTAGATCTTGGTGATCTTGGCTTTGCTGGTTTCAAGGCTGGATTGCCTGTCTTTGTGGAACCCTGCTCTGCCGTCTTCATGAGTCCGCTTCACGTGTTCGTGCTTGGTGGTCTGAGTGGTCTTAGCTGGCCAGTTAAACACGAGTTCTGCACTAGTAGGTGTCTTCAAGTTGATCAGCTGGTTCTGGATGATCTGGATGACTTTGTTGCGCTTCTTCTTGCCTTCAGAGCCTTTCTTCTTGTAAGCCTTTCGTTCTCAGCTCCGAGACAAAATTTGCTTGGACCTTTCGACTCGGCCAGCGGACTTCTTGGCTCTTGTTCTTCGATTGTTGCTATTCATGGAAGTAGACTTCGACTTGAAGTTGGCTTCAGTGATGGCTTTGAGCTTCTTCATGTTTTTCTTGTCTTTCGCAGAAATGTCGTAGGTCATTTCGAGTTTGCCTATTGGAGTGTATCGGCCGACCAAGTGGTTGACTACGCTGGCTGGCCGCACTTTGGCACTCATTTTCCTGTCGAAAGTGGCTGCTCCTGAGTTCTCTTTGCATGGCTCATTGGCCTTCGATGTCGCTGTGTGGGTGATACTCGTGTCATATTTTCTGATACTGCCCGATGAGTTGAAGAGTTCGTGGAACGGAGTATTCACTTTGTTTTCGAATAGCTTCAAGTCGTCTGATGTCTTGAGCATTTTGTCATTGCCTACATTGTGAGAGTGGGTCTGGGTGGAAGTCGTCCTTGTGTTTTCCTTCTAATTAGAAGTCATACAGAACTTACCTTTGAAGTGTTGCATGAGAGTCCGCTCGGAGTCAGAGAGTGGAACTGCTCATATTCTGAAATAGCCGACATTGTGTCATCCATGCTTGTGGATGCATCTCTGGTCCGAGGCTTTTTGTGTTTGCCTGCTTTAAACGACTTGACGATGGGACCAATTTTCTCGAAGAGGCTGCGCTGCACATCCTTATTTGTCTTCGTGAGGAGACACATATTCGTTGATCATTGCAGTCGAGTTGAAGAGCTTTTCTTTTGAGAAGCTCGGTGGAGACTGTTTGAACAGAGGTGACTTGCCTGCATCGATCGAGGCTTCTGAGCTTTCTATGAGTATTTTCTGGGTGGTCCCTTTGATGCTCTGAACAGTTATGAAGCAACTTACACTTTTGAGAATGTCACTATCATCGATCTTGGAATTGTCTTCTCTGGCTGATAGTCCGATCTTGGACTCGGCGAGTTCTTTGGTTTCTTGTTTGATGTCTTCCATTTTAGGCGAGTTGATCTGGAACTCTGCTAGGTAGTCGTTCGGCTCCAAGTCAAGCGGTGAAAGCCTGACCGACAAGTTGTCTGCTTTCTTGATGATCGGAGTCATCTTCTGCATTTCGACTCCATTCAAAGGCTTGATCATCAACACATCTGAGGCAACTTCTGAATCTTCAGGGATGACTTCGTAGCATGGAGAATGATTTTTATTTGTAAGAAGCCACGATGTGTCTGACAAGGGGACAGTCGCCTGGAAGGAATTTGACTGAAATTTCTAGTGCTTTACCATGCCAGTACTCTGAGTCCATGGAGTCTTCGAAGTGTTCTTGTTTCTTTTGTTTTAAGAACCTGAGTTCAGTTCCCATTCAGAAATACGAAGTAATCAAAATAGTTATTCTTTCTATTAAATTTTCTCTTGTAATTGCTAAATCTGATCATCTGATGCCATAGACATCTCTGAAGTCTAATCTCTTAAGCTTCATAATATTTGTAATATTAAGGTAATCATGATACAAGTTCTGGTTCATAAAGCCGAGTAGGTTTCTACAATCAATTTTATTACCCCCTTTGATCCGATCATATAAAGTAATAGGGCCAACTTTTTGCCTGGTAAGCGACTCCTCATTTTGAATGTTAATGCTTCTATTCTCATCCATGAGATGGATTGTAGGTAGAATCTCGTCTGAATCATCATCTGAGGAGTTGAAGTCAAGGTCACCACCCTCAATGTCATCCTCCCCTTCTTCTCTTACTAAGCATTTGTGGAGTTCACGAAGGATCGGAATCATCTTAAATATAATTTCTTTGGAGAATGCTAATGCTCCCTCCTGGAGGCTCTCTGAACATGTTTGGTTTCTGCTTGGATTTCGTTTTGTCGACCATTGTTTCGTTGAGGACTGAAATCTCTTTGAGATGGAGAGCTTCTACGAAGTGCTTAAGATCACGAACCATATAATGTGAAATCCTTGCAGCTATTTGGGCGTGGTACAAAGCTTCTCTATGCCTATTTAACTGAGAGAATAAAGCTCATAGTTGCATTCTCAAGAGCCCTTCAAGATAAATTGAATGATTTTTTGTTTCAACTTGCTGAAATTCAGGAAGCAAGGATAAAATTTCAAGATTTAACACAGCTGTTTCAAGAAAAACTGCTGCATCTTCTAAAGATCCTAGCATCTGGTGACAAAGTGCACTATTATGATAAATTATTACTATTATCAATCGATCTCTTTTAAAATTTTCCATGTTTAGTTTTTCGATAATATTCTGAGCTCTTTGGAGGAGGATTAGAGCCCGCTCCCACTCTTCACTATCCATATAGAGAAGAGAGTTCTCATGAAGCTCGAAGAGGACAACTGGGACTTCAGAAATGTCAATATCAAGAGGTTTGTTAATAAATTCCATTTCACTTGAAGGCCGTGTTGCTTTATTTCAAAAATCAATATCATCCACTCCTGCTGCTTCTGGCTGCTCGAGGATTGAGAAGTTATCTAAAACATTGTAAGTACTGACATTGTGAGCTAAACAGAGAGGATGGGCAAACATTTAACTACCAGCTTTTGGAAGTGACCAAGAACTAAGAAAAGAGAAATAATTTAAAATAAACTTAATAAAATTTTAATGCTGGTGAAATTACAGGAAATTGTTTGAAAAAATTCTTAAAATTTAGATAAATTTCTATTTTATATCGACAGTAATTTGAATTCTCACTATTATCTCTAATACACAAAAACCATCTCAGAATCTTTGAAAATCGAACAATTTTCTATCTATTTTCATTTATGAATAAATATCACTATGATCTACACTGCATCATTAAAAAAATACTATTAATTATTCTCCTAAATACAGTCACTTTTCATACAATTTTTCATACTACTAAGTGATATCTTCTTCGAAATTTTTGGGAAATGTTCTTTAAAGCTGATGGGGTTATTGAATAAAATTTTATTTGGATTTTCGGTGTGAAGAAAGGAGCGAATGTTGGAGATGGGTTAGAAGATATGAGTTTGGCAAGATTTGGGATGAAGATGCGAGGGTATGGAGGTTTAGAAGGTTTTTTGCTTTGTTCATAGAGAGGTGATTATATCCCGACTCTTTCCTAACAAATTCAAATCCACTACTACCACCTCACATGCACAAATGCTGCACAATTACACCTATCCAACCCCCTTCAAACTCCTATTATTCCTTCCACTTCTTTACCCCATTCCATCCCATTTAAGCTGACTGCCTTGCTCACTAGGGTTCCTTTCCAAGACTTATGAATATGTTGGCTTACCTTGCATATTTGATTTAATACTTTAAATTTGATTTTATTAAATTTTGAATGGGGTTTTGGGGTTTTGGGGTTTTGGGGTTTTGGGGTTTTGGGGTTTTGGGGTTTTGGGG